AGAGTTATAATTTGGTAAACATATCTGGTTTCCGTGGGAATCAGAATATCATGTTTAACACGTGATTGTAAGAATTCCTATTGCATCATTTGGCTTACCATCCAATCATATCAGTACTTGCACAGATTCAGGGTCATGAATAGCCTGGTCATATGGGTCCTATAAAAGGGACTCTGGCAAGCCTTTAAGTTTACTTAAAATACAGATGTGACGTCACCCTTTGATGTTGGCGTACCATTATTTCAAATAATCGTACGGGCAACTTGCCAATCGTACCTTGTCAAATATTAGACTCGAGTGACGTATTTCACTGTAAACGCACGTGCGGAGTGTCTGTATTTTAAGATGTTTACTGGTCTCGAGCTGAGACATTGCGTAATATATTGTAAAAACACTCGGACCTGACGGTCCTCTTGTTGTTACAATATATTACTTAATGTCTCGCTCTCGACCATTAAACAATACATATCCTTGGGTTGCGGACAGATTACCATCTGAGTTCCTATCAGTGCTTTATATAAAATGTTGAACTGAATTGCTGCATTGTTATTCCTGGTAAGACAACCGTCTTAAGTACTTGGAAAAGAAGAGAAAACACAACGTGAAAAGGAAACCAAAGCAGACAATTGAAAAAACTAGAGGATCACAAGACTATTAAGATATGTAGTAGTTATTAGCACACTTTCCGAGGTGTATCGGTGAATATCAGGAGGCGGCCCCCGACCAAAACTGTCCTGATATTCACCGATACACCGAGGAAAGGTGCTAATAAGTTACTTACATCACATTTCTATCGAGTATTGTGAAACAAAATGTGAAAAATAGTATTTAGTATCGAGTCGTTTCAACCGAAAAGTGACAAATACTTTCTGCTCTTTCATTATTTATCCCTTTCTGAGCCTCACGTTACATTTCATGGTAGAATGATTTCGCAGTGGAGAGACGACCTGAGTAGTATTTACACGTGCATCTTGCTATGATACCCTGAGCGTAAAACAATCAGGTGTTTGTTTAGACCACATCGTCAAAACAACTTGTCTATATGGCGTAGAGGACTGCGATATTATTAAATGTAGTGTAAAGGAAATGCGAAACGTGGGTCATTCCTGGTGAAAGTATGCATCGGCGGATGGTTCTTCCGTTGAAATTTATTTGTAATAAAGTTTATGACTTTCTAGCCGTTTTTTTCATCCTGCATGTTTTCAATGCCTGTGAAGTGTCCAGCAAGAGAACTGCGCCTTCTATCATCACAATTAATTAAAATAATTATTCAATATTCTAATTTATATATTTTGCATATTAATATAAATCAAACCAAATTATGAAATAGATGCCAATTGATATGTATAATAATTGATTTTTGTAATATGTTGTTATGTTAATTTAATGTCATTGTATATGTTTTTGAACTGCCATGTAGTTCCCCCCCATTTTGTTTTGTTACTATGATTTTGACTAGTTGTTTCATGAACATTATATAGAACCATCGTTATCAATTGCGATCTGGGTCGGACTAAACGTCCGCTATTTATTGCTTGATAGGTTTCTAAAACGATATTAAAGTATCCGTGTATCAGAAATGAACAGGACTCTTTCTGTACATTTCTGATACACGGATACTTTTAAGCATGTAATGCAAATAAACAGGACAGTTTGATCAAAGGTTGCCAGTGGCAACGAGTAGAAGTAGGATGTAAGAAAAGGTGCATGGGATATACGTAGGATCTGGCGACCGGTTTGTTGGAGGTCCGCTTCCCACGTCTGACACAAGATCCATGGTGCTACAACCCTACATGCAATATGAGTAACGCGATTGGTCGACCGATTCTCAAGTATAGTCTAACTTTAGCTTCAGTGGTAGGCCCTACTTTATTGAAATATCAAAAGCTAAATTCGAGTATCATGCTTAGAAGTAGGTTGAAATAAATACATATTTACAATAATTTAAAAAGTTAAATATTACTTAGCGTTAATAAAGGGGGGTCAACTAGCTTTTTGTATGATATTATTGCCTACCGTGCTCGATAACGAGAATATTTGTTTAACGTCGCACTATTAAAGTTGCCAATGATTTTATTATTTCAACTAAGCTATTTTTTTCCGTGAGACTCTTCTACCGATCTCAGGGTACGGACTCTTCCGTTTTTATCTTTCTGCGTGCTTTGTTCAGGTGTTACTCGGTTACACCAGTGCTCAATTATCTGGCGTATTGCAAGTAAACTAAGTAATGATAGCTGTTTCAAAATCAGAAGATTGTCAATAAATCGTCTTCATGATAAATATATTTTTCCTGGTAGTTTAGATATGGTTTCTAGTTGATGAGTATGTGTTCTGGATCGATACCGTCGAGAAAAAACCCATATCTCTCCTGTTATTTCCTTTGTGAAATTTGAAATGCGGCTTAAAGTTGCTCTTAACTCGCCTCTTTCCTTTTTCCAGCAAAAGAAAAAATAAACCTAATTTTCGACAAATGTGCAAACTTGCTTGATTGACTTTTTAAACAAAAAAATCCCAAGCGTGTTATGTATTTGACATAAGTTTAATGTAGGCATGGTATATTTTCAAACTGAACTTGTATCCCAAAATGAATAATCATTGTCGACATTAATAATGTATTATATAATATTTTTGAAAAATGATTGACATATTCATTTTAACAAAGGAATTGTTTGTGCTACTTTAATATTTCTGACGCAGATTTTAACCATCTGTACCCGTCGTAGTGTAATCATCAAAGTTAGAATGATAATGACATTTTCTGTTGATTATGATTTAGAAATGAATTCAATATTTAAGTTGACTATCGCATTATAAAAGCTACCAGGTCAGTGGACCAAAACTACGTTCGGTATATATTTCCCCTGTTCTCTGTGTTATTCGAACATTAACACATGTCAATTTGATACACACAAAAGGTGGGGTTAATTTTTTTTATGCGGCTGTACCCTTATGAAAAAGTCCTATAGAAAAACTATAGGTTCCAATAGAAGTTTGTGGGATTCTATAGAATGCTATAGAATGCTGCCGGAAAACGAATCCATTCTGTAGTTCTTTTTCACAGGAATATAGATTCAAAATCATTTACTCTAGTTTTGTGTAGAGTCGGTAGATGAGTTTTTCCAAGTGTAATTTCCTAAAGAATTCTATTGGATACTGTGAGAAACTATTGGAAAAATATAAACCTATAGATTCATTGGTGCTGCTATAGAATTTGTGGTAAAATTATAGTTTTCTATAGAACTAACCTGTATCCTCGAGTCAATTGAGTTCATCCTTTAGTTTTCTATATCCTTTGTGGTAAAAACTATAGTTTGCTATAGAACTAAACTTGTATTCTCAAGTCAGTTGTGGTTCCTATAGATATGGTGGTAAAACTATAGTTTTCTATAGAATTAACCTATTGTCTTAAGTCTATAGATTTTGTGGAGGAACATATAACGGGTGAGCCTTCTATAGTTTTTTTGTAGAATTTATATGTATACGGTGCTTAAACCATTTTAACAAATAGTCTACTATAGTTTCCTACAAAATAATGTAGTTACAATGTACAGATTTCATAATTATTTTGCGATGTCTTTTATTCATACTATAGTTTAATATAGAATTTAGTGATGCACTTGTGTGAATTACGTAAAAGTTTCCAACAGAATTTTCCTGGATGCAGTTTTCCTTAATATACTGTGATACCAAATGACAAACTAAAATAAGCTTACCACGAAAAAATAATAATAATATTTTAAAATAATATTATTTTAATGTAGTGTATATAATATGAATGAAATAGTCATACATGTTGACACTCCGAAAAATGCCAGTGAATATAGATCTTCACAGCAAAAATAACAGATAATAAATTATTCTTAAAATAAGTCAATGAAATAAAGACAAAGTTTATTTGAACACAGTCTGACTGTTGGGTGATCCTTTTAGTTAAGATTTTAATGAATATAGCAGGGCCCTGTTTCACGAAATTTTAACTAAAGATAAAATCCAAATTTTAGTAGATACTTCAATTTTGATTGGCTAAGCACTAAAATCAACCGAATATTATCCAATCAAATTACTAAAATTTGGATAAAATCCAAATTTTAGTAGATACTTCAATTTTGATTGGCTAAGCACTAAAATCAACCGAATATTATCCAATCAAATTACTAAAATTTGGATTTTATCTTAGTTAAAATTTCGTGAAATAGGCCCCAGATCCTGAACTCAAATTATAATGGGACACGCCCCACACAAAACTATAGATTTTCTATAGAATTCTGTAGAAAACTACACTGGTATTCTATAGGACTTTTTGCCAAGGGTGTACTTCCTGCATACTGAAATTTTGATTCAATAAGCGGTAAAGATATTAGTACCCAAACAAATAATGCCATCGCCAGTGTTCCTTCTAATGTTCAGTAGTCGGTGTCAAAATTCTTACGGTATGTCACTTTAATTCATGCATTTGACTATAATATATGCGTAAGAGGCGTTACTACAAACATGAAGTAGTTTCAAGATAATTTTGGCACAACCTATTAAAATATTGGCAATTAACATATTTAGCTTGTTATGATACTTTCATGGATAATCGAATAATTTTCGTGTTCATTCGGACATCTGATGGCTCTGCTCTGACGTTTCTCTTTGTGCAAAACTAGTCGAAATTAGGTATACCCTTATGACCTTTTAAACTATCTTTCAGTCTAGCATAATGCCGCTGACCGTTAAGCCGGTATAGGGAGAATTTGCACCTGAAGGTGGTCTCCTTATCGGTCTGCATATACTGATTTACCAATTCGTTTTATTTAATTTATAAGCCGAAAAGATATTACCATCCAAACAAATATGTGATCCCCAGTGTTCACTCTATTCTCTGTATAGGGAGAATTTGCACCTGAAGGTGCCCCCCCCCCCTTATTATTTACCAAATCGTTTTTCTTATTATCTTTTTAATGACTTGTACACACACGTAAAACCTGCATTTTTAAATAAGTAAACAAAGATATGTCGACAATAAATTCATATTTTATTACACAAATTCAACCAATTCATACACTACAGAAATAAAAAAGATCAGCTGGAAGTAACAATAACATGCTGGTTTACATATCACTACATAATAACTGAGTTAATTACTACATATTATCAAGATGACTTTATTACTGACATGTTATACTATTGTACATGGTGATATACAACAAGATAATAACTAAATTTATTACTGAGCGAGAGAGAACATTTCATTTCAATAATTCGCTTGCAAGGGGTCTTTAGCAGTGGGAGGAACCGAAGGACCCAGAGAAAACCGACGAGGTTGGAAAGGCGATGCTACTCCTTGTCACGTACAACCGGAGAATTGAAACCATGGCAGTTGACTCAATGACAGACCTTGTGACACAGGCTATCCAACCTCCCTAATTTATTACTGCCATTTTATACTACTGTACATGACGATATTCAACTAGAGTACAACTGACTTAAAGATACATTATGGGATTAGATAAAGAGCTGGCAGTTCTCACTATAATAGCTAAAAACTAGATAACGGCAATTGAACGTGTCAATCACTTGTCAATAAAATATTCAAATGTCGTACGTAATAAAAATAGGCGAACCTCGCTATTTTTCATATTTAATTCCCGTACGGTAATCAAATTTATCTCAGTAACATTCCTACAAAATAACTCCTGCTTCGGCATCAAATTCACAATAGTAGGCATTACGTGTCTTTGTTGTTTATACGGCAGCAAATGAATGCAGAACTTCCGGAATAAGAATCATTTTCTACTTTATAAAATGTCAACAAAATATTCAAATCCGCGCGTAATAAAAAAATAGGAACACCTTGTTATTTTTCCTATTTAATTCCCGTGGGGTGTTCAAATTTATGTCTGACAAGGACATCTGTCTAGTCGTTCGGGTGGGACGAAAAACCGAGGTCCCGTGTACATATTGGCATGCACGTAAAAGATCCCTTGGCAGTTGGAATTCGATATAAGAGTAGGCCGTAGCAAAATTCCCCTCATAGCACACTGTATGGCGTATGCCCGTCTTCATTAGTCCAGGCTAGGAGCAGAACAGTAGGACGTTAAACCCCATTTCATTTCATTTCATTTCATTTCATTTCGTTTCAAATTTATGTCAGTAATATTCCTATAAAATTACGTGTTTTCGTAATACGATAGAACGAAACCTTGCCGATCCGTACCTACTTATAAAAAGCTTCCTTCAGCGTATGGCGTACGCGACTCATAGTTTCAACGTAAGCTCTGCCTTGTAGGCGATTTTCGTTCGGCAATCGATATCGCGGGAAAGTGCCACTGTTGATAAGAATTTCTATATGGAGCCTTAAAAGACGTAAAAGATATTGTAGACAAAATGACTGTCCATTGATTTGGGTGTTATATACATGTACTCTAATGATATGTGACATCTAAGACTAGTTTATACATGCTGTCGGTTGGTAAATTATAATCGCTCTTATTGGATTGATGAATAGCTCGACAAAGGGGAAGCCATGACATCTGTTTAAGATTAGATTGATGAACTGTCCAATAAAAGATTAAGCCAGTCAATCATGGCAGATTAAGTAGTTAATCAAGGTAGGTGTATAGACGGTATAACACGATAAATACGTTAATCACTTAATTACCTAATCAATCCAGCCTATTATTAACGATAATCGGGTTGAGTGGTAGTTATACACTCAGTACACTATATTAATTTTGGAATTTTGAATATTATTTACCATATCTTGATGTCCGATTGGGCATATTCCTGGTCGGACAATTTTGGAAGTTCAGAAAATAGCGTCGGACATGTCCGGAATATACGGGCAAAATCCCATCACTGACGTAAAGGCAATTTGCTGAAACTTTCATTTGAATTGATCCATTCTGAACCAAGATTTTAGCGATTGAATTTTCGACCTAGCCTCGATCATCATTACTAATGTCGGTACGATAAAAAACATAGTCTAAATTACCCATTTCATAATTAAATCATGATTGAAAGATGAGCAGCAATTCGGATCCTAATCCAATAAATATCGCAGGCTAGCGTTGACACCGAGAGTTATACTACTGTACATGGAGATATACAACTAGAGTAGAACTGATTTAATTACTGACATGTTATACTACTGTACATGGAAATATTCAACTATATCACAGTTGATTTAATTACTGACATATTATACTACTGTACATGGAGATATACAACTATACATGTAACTGACTTAATTACTAACATGTTATGCTATTGTACATGGAGATATACAACCAGATAATGACTGACTTAATTACTGATATATTATAGCACATAAAGGCGGGTATAAAGTTAAGATTTCTTTACTACAATTTGTACTTTTCCATCCTGATCAATGTAAATAGAGGGTGTTAGTTACGAGTGATGGTACTGGTGGTTCATTATGAGGTTCGGCTGTCCACTGTCTATTAATAATTGCTGCCATTGGTTCATTCGTGATTGATTGGTTTCCTGGAATTGATGTTATCCGTTCATTGGTGCATATTTCATTAGCTGAGTTTTCGGGAGCAGGTCTAGAGAAAAAGAAAGAGCAAAATTTAAAGATACATTATGTAAGATTTAGATAAAGAGCTAGCCATTCTTGCTATACTATAATAGTTGGAAAATAGATAATGTAAAATGAATAATTTGAAAATTTCATTCAAATAACTCTATTGCAAGTGAAGATATTAGCCTTTGAAGGTTTGACTTAGCTCTTGCATAATGTATGTTTAAAGTTCAATAGTATAAATTATTGAAGAAATGTTATAAACAGACTCTATTTTTCACCATTAATATTCTTTTCAATACTACGTCTCCCATTCTTGTTTATCCATACTAAGATTTATTTACATCTTGTATTTTGGATAATTGTAGATTAAAGGAAAAATGGAAATGGCGGATTTGATTCAATATTGAAAACTAGTTTTATGGCTCCACGCGTTTTGATAAACTACTAATTGTCAAAACCTTCAGCTGCAGATTAAATTAAAAAAAACACACAACTATTTATCGTCCAAAAACATATCTTTTCATGTGATTTACATGATATGCATAGTCAATTGATATAGTTCCTTGTGAGACATCCAAGCTATCTTACACCTGAGTATAAACTGAGTTAAGTGCACTATCATGTAACTCTGTAACCGTACAACACCCCCTCCCCTAGCCCAGTTAGCTTTTTTTTGTTATAAAATCTATACAATTACGTCAGAGATAGGTGGGGATCTTTCAAAACCACGCTTTAAATATTTCTATTTAACCACAACAATGAGTAAGGTTACAATAAGCAATATAACTTACTGATCAACTATAATAGCTGGTATTGCTGTTATCTGTTTATTGGTGAATGGTTCCCCCACGTATTTTTCGGGTGCAGGTCTAGAGAAAAAGAAAGAGCAAAATTTAAAGTTAAATAGTATAAATTATCAAAGAAATGTTATAAACAGATTGTATTTTTCACAAAAAAATATTTATCGTACAAAAACATAGATTTTCATGGGACCTAAATTACATGTACGTGATACGCATAGTCAATTGATATAGGTCCTTGTGAGACATCCAAGCATGATTTAAGCATTGTTTAAGCCAAACAAAAGCCTTTTGCAGTAGTCGAGTCTGGATAAAATTCAAGATCAAACGAGCGCATGTGTTACATCTTCTGTGATCTAATTACAGATTTGATACAGGGACCTCAAATGGTGATATTTCAAAAATATGCTTAAAATATTTCTATTTAACCAAGAGTAAGGTTACACTGTCCATATCACATGCAATATAACTTACTGATCAACTATAATTTCTTCTACTGATAACATCAGTGAAAGCGTCTCTCTTTTACAATGGGATGGTTGTGCCAGTGGAAGTAATGGAACGGGTAGTCCCTTTATAGATATTCTACCAGTCTGTACAGATTTATATGGGAATTTCCGATTTGAATTTGTAGCTTTAGCTTTAAAGATAATAATAGAAAAACAATAATTGAACTGTGAATAAGTCAGAAACAAACATTTTTCTGAACTTATTTATGAAACTAAAGGGTAAATAAGGAGTATCAATCGGTTGTTGGTGGGCATACAACTTGTAAATTGATTGTCTATCAAATTTAAAATTTTGAGATTGCATTGTGACTACACCAGAGAGTCACCAAAAGACAAGTCCAAATATTAATGCTAACGTTGACACAGGACTTCTGTTTTTCATCCCATCCAAACGATGGGATCGAACCATGAATCTCCTGATTGCTGAGTCAGCACCTTACTAACTGAGCCACCGTGGCTAAATTATACTATAAAATGTAGTTCTAATTAAGATACTCAAAGATGTGTGCGAAGTTGTCCAATAAATCCATAAAGGTTGCCATATCTTTTTGGGGGATGATAACTTTAGCCTCTAGAGTGTTCATGACAGACAGACAACAATAGACAGCCACATTTTAACGTGGGCCCATAAAAATTAACTTAAATGCAGAGGACAATCTCTCTGCTTACTTTCAAATGACAAGCTACTTCTTCTGTCAATTACACTGGTTGTAGAAATACAAACTTCATGACAACATTTCCAGAGACATCACCATAACTCACATGACAATATATAAATCAATGTTAAAAAATAAAGTTACCATAAAGCTTGTTAAAGTGCTCTCTTGCTCTCGCTTGTAAAACTGAGAGTTTCTCCTGATTTGATTCATTTGATTCTGTAATAAAATCATCTGTGCATTCACAAAATTGTAAATCTAATCACCAGATTATAATCATAATAAAATACATCATTCTTCAATTCTCTTTTCTACAAGTGTGAGAAACCTAGGAGTAAGGTTTGATCGTGAATCATCAATGGAAACTCACATTAGAAAATATTTAACTGCAGAATCTGCCAAAATATTAGCATCATCCCTTATACTGTCTAGAATAGACTACTGTAACAGTCTATTAGCAGAATGTACCACTCATTCTCCTTAATCATCTTCAGGTATGAAATAATCTAAAAATAATGTTATTAAGTTACCTTGACCGGACGTTTGAGAACTGAAGTGTTTAACTATTGATGTTTGGACACATTCTTGTGAAAAATAATCGTTCATTTTTCCATTTCCAGCGATAAAAAGTTTATCACTGGAAAACCCAACCGCAGCAATGTCAATGTCGCAGTCTGATATTTTCTGAAGCTAAAAAAAAAAAGAACAAGTGTGGGACTCAAAATAGCATACATTCACATTGTTAAATATGGTGATTACTCTGGAAATAATTGTTGAATTGTGCTAATATTGGAAAGAGTTAAGATTTATGATTAAAAATTCCAGTAATAATGTTTACAGTATCTATAATAAGATCCTCATTTTGTTTATTGTATAGATGTGATTAAAGCATCCAAGATTTTTAAAATTTAGCAATAAATGTCACTTTAAGAGAGAGAGAGAGAGAGAGAGAGAGAGAGAGAGTAACAGAATGTTTTGGATTACCTTATCTTCAAAGCTCACTACTACAATTAATTGTTTAAAAGTATTAAAAGTTTTCAATAATAAAAACTTACAAGAGCATCTAACTGTTTTAATAGAGCGGCGGCTTTTAATTGGCACAGTTTGTTTGGCTCTTTGACAATAAGTACTTTTTTGGTTTTCAGGAAGACTTTTCCAATTATTAGACCATGCTTTCATGTCTTTGATTCCATCTGCAAAAAAAAAAAAAAAAAGTGTTCAACTTTGAATTTTCATTTGTAAAATTTTGACTGAATATAAAAATTTGATAATCAATGCGTCTCTTTATATAAATATTAAATTAATAATAACAACTTGGAGATCATAGTTAGTTACCATAACGACTATGTGTATGGAATGTTTATTTTGTTATGATAAAAATTTGATTAATATCAAAATGTCTAAAGCAATTCATCCGTGCATATCACTCACGTCATTTACCCGTTACATAACTTAAAATTATACAGAACCATTTCGTTGACAATCAGGTAGGTAAATATGACCTCTGTTTGAATTTCATGATGGTGTAAGTAAGTGCATTGAAAAAAACCATATTAAAGCAAGCTTATTATATGTTAAGCTTGTCAATAATATATGAATTTTGTAATGCACAATAAATCAGTTTCTTCTGCTTGATGTTCATATAACTTGAAAATATCAAAAGAAATAAACAACAGTGAAACAATATTAATATTCAATTTCAATAAGGAAACATAAAGAACAATATGGTAGAAACTTTTGTCAACAATAACTCAGGATCAAATTCAGCGCTCTTATAAATACATAAAGCTCATGCGCATAAAGTCAGACAAGGTGAAAGTAAATATATACAGTATGGTTACTCAATGTAATAAAAGATAGGTTGCCAGGCAACGAAACATACGCCCACAGCAGCTATATCGTCCGGGCAGTCAACAAGAGTTGTCGCATATTTTTACTTTTTTCGGTAATGAAACATTTATAATACATTAAAATCTGATTAAGAGTAACAACTCATTAAGTAATTATCAGAAAACCATTAGAATTTGTTTGGTTTTTATAAAGTTCTGCCCTCATGCTAACGTTTAGTATGCGAAACTTTTAACATCATGGATTTAGCTGTTCAAGTCATAAAGATTCATTGAAAATCAATATACTGGTTCGTCTCAAGACCTTAATCTGAAGTCAATCGGATAACTTTAGCCTCTAGAGTGATCACAAGATTTTTCAAAGTGATAAAGGGCCATAACTTTGGCAGTAATTATCCGAAATCGTTGAAAATCAATACGATTCTTCATCTCATGGCCTCAAACACTGTGTATAAATTTAAAGTCAATCGGATATTAACTTTAGCCTTTAGAGCGTCCACAAGATTTTTTTAAATGATCAAGGGTCATAACTCTGGCAGTAATTATCGAAAATCGCTGATAATCAATAGGCTTCTTCGTCTCATGACCTTAAACACTGTGGATACATTTAAAGTCAATTGGATATTAACTTTGACCTCTAGAGCGTCCACAAGATTTTTTGAAATGATCAAGGGTCATAACTCTGGCAGTAATTATCGAAAATCGCTGAAAATCAATAGGTTTCTTCGTCTCATGACCTTAAACACTGTGTATAAATTTAAAGTCAATCGGATATTAACTTTGACCTCTAGAGCGTCCACAAGATTTTTTGAGGTGATCAAGGGCCATAACTCTGGCAGTCATTATCGAAAATCGCTGAAAATCAATAGGATTCTTCGTCTCATGACCTTAAAAACTGTGTATAAATTTAAAGTCAATCGGATATTAACTTTAGCCTATAGAGCGTCCACAAGCAATTGTGGACGCCGGACGGACGGACGTACCGACGGACGGACCGACGGAGGACAGGGGCGACAACAATATACGACCACTTTTCAATGTGAGCGTATAAAATGAAATAACAATAAGTGTGCCTTGCCCTAAGAATTATTTTGAATGTGAAAATTTTAAGAAATAACAATATTTCTAAAGTCTTATCTATACATTTATAGTATGGTATACAAATAAAAAATTTGAATTGATCATTGTCAGGAAATCACCTAAAACAAGTTCATCTACCCTGTTTGTTATTATACTAAAAATGCTTTTTAGCCATTACTTGTCTTTTGTAATAAGAACCACAACATAAACTTTTCATAACATAATTAGTATACAACCAAAAAATATAATATGATAGGATAATGGGCTAACATTTCCTGAAAAATTCATCCAGCAAACCAACTTCAAATTACTTTGAACTATTTTCAGTCTATTAAAATTTTAAAATATGATGACTTTTTCAAGAAACCGAGCCTGTACTTCCTACATTTACATGATTATCCTTACTATCACTTTGCTCTTTACAGAACAGGTTATAAGATGTTCCGTGAGTTTTAAAATAATTTGGCACTCTGGCATACTGTCGCCCACTCAATTTTCTCTTTTTATTCCCTATCCAGTCCTGTGAGAAAATATAATGCTTTGAGGAAATATAAATTCGATTAGCTGTTACTTCTGTGTGAAAGAAATAAATATATATCATACTTATATTGAGCATAAATATCCAACTGTTAGTTTTCATGTGCGATTGGTATTAGCTTTTCAAAGTGATACGAGTGCCTGTATTACTGTAGCAGTGTAGTTGTTTGTAAGGTTGATCATTACAAACAATGTGCTCTAAAAGTTTATGTAATTAAGCAGTGATGACAATCATTTCAGATCACCTCTGAATTTTTTCCTGAAACTTTTAGTCATGTTAAATATAGACTGATATAGGCATTGGAAAGCATACTAAACTATCATTTGCATTAAAAGATACATGTAAATACAGTTTAAATATAAATAGGGACTGGGGGTCTGCCACTAACTAATGTATTTATGATCCTATGGAATAGCCTCCCAGTCTTAAAAAATCCCACTGAGAAGAATGACCTGCATAAAAGGATCCCATTATTAAGCTTACCTTAACTTGCTGTGAAGTTAATCCTGCAGCCGACGCGACTGAATCAACACTGAGTTATAACTTGTTTAAAATCGAAGAGTTTTTGAATGACGATAAAGAGATGCATCGACTTAGATTAATAGGTAATGAGTTCCACCTTCTAACAGTAGCTAATTTCAAATGAACGAAAACCCAAAGTTGTCATCCTGAGAGATTTTGATCCCAAATGGAATCTAAGATTGAACAAGTTCACATAGATATTTAGGAACGGTGCCATTTACACATTTAAGAAGTTTAAAATCTATTCAGTCAGAAACAGGGAGCCAAATGGAGATCTTTTAGAATGGGTGCGATGCGGCTGGATCTAGTTGATTAGGCCACCATCCTGGCAGTAGAGTTCCGAAGGCCTTGTAGGCTGTGAAATTGGCATTGTAGAAGATCAACTAGAAGGCTTGCACTGGTTTATTTCCTCATGTTGTCAATGATGTAGCCTTATAACAATTTCAAAAAGACGAAATCATAATTAAAGAATCCAGGCATTCGCCTAAAGTCAGGTTACCAGGCAACAAAACATATGCCCACAGCAGCTAAGTAGTCGGAACAGTCCACAAGGGTTGTCACATTTTTTTCACTGAACATCAATAGCTTCTTTATCTCATGAATATAAACACAGTGTATTGAAGACACAGGAAGGGAGGGGCTCAGGGAGACAGAGGGAGAAACAGAGCGAGGGAGAGACAGGGCGAGTGAGACAGACAGGGACAGGGAGGGAGAGATAGACAGGGAGGGAGAGATGGAGGGAGGAACAGATGGAGGAAGGGACAGGCGGATGGAGGGACAGAGGGCTGGAAAGAGCGGGGGAGGGACAGACGGAGGGACAGAGAGAGGAAGGGACAGACAGAGGGGGGCAGAGAAAAGGAGGGGCACAAGGAGAGACAGAGAGGGAAAGACATGGGGACATAGAGGAGGGACAAACGTCGAGGGACAGAAAGAGGGACGGGGACAGAACGAGGGAGGTACAGAGAGAGGGGGGGGAGACAGGGAGGGAGGGAGAGATGGAAGGACAGAGGGGGGACAGAGGAGGAGAGACGAAGGGATGGGTGGACAGAGGGAGGGACAGGTCGAGGGAGGGACAGAAGGTAAGAAGAAGGTAAGACAGAGGGAGTGACCGAGGGAGGACAGGGAGAGGGAGGAACAGAGAGATAGGAGGGAAAGACAGAGGGACAGACGGATGGAGGGATAGAGGGAGGGACAGACGGAAGAACAGAGGTAGGGACAGAGAGATGAAGGGACAGATGAAGGGATGAATGAACAGAGGGAGGGACAGAGGGAGGGAGAGACAGAGGGTGAGACAGATGGAGTGGCCGATGAATAGGCAGAGGGACAGGGAGGGAGAGACAGAGGGTGAGACAGATGGAGACGATGGGATGGGTAAGAAGAAGGTAAGACAGAGGGAGTGGCCGAGGGAGGACAGAGAGAGGGAGGGACAGAGAGATAGGAGGGAGAGACAGATGGATGGAGGGATAGAGGGAGGGACAGGCTGAAGAACAGAGGTAGGGACAGAGACGCGAAGGGATAGATGAAGGGATGAACGGACAGAGGGAGGGACAGAGAGGGGACAGAGAGAGGGTAAGAAGAGGGTGAGACAGATGGAGTGACCGAGGGACAGACAGAGAGGCAGGGAGACAGAGACATGTGTGGGAGACAGAGGGAGGGCGGGAGAGACAGGGGGAGTGACCGAGGGACAGACAGTGAAGAAGAGACAGAGGGAGGGACAGGGAGAAAGACGGGGGCAGGGTAAAATAGGAGGGAAAGACGGATGGATGGAAAGACGGGGGATGGATATAGGGAGGGACAAACAGACGTAGGGAGGGATAAATACAGAATGAGGAACAGGGGGAGGGAGGGAGGGACAGAGGGATGGGGGTAGAGGGAGGGAAAGATGGAGAGAGGGAGGGAAGGCGGGACAGACAGAGGCAGTGACCGACACAGTGGGGAAGAGACAGAGGGAGAAACAGAGAGGGAGGGGCAGACAGAGGGAGGGACAGATGGAGGGAAAGACGGAGGAAGGGACATATAGAAGGAGAAGTGACAAAGGAACAGACAAGGGGGGACTGACAGGGGGGACAGGGAGACACCGGGGGAGGGGGCAGGGGGCGAGGGACAGACGGAGGGAGGGATAAAGGAAGCGACAGATGGAGAGAAAGACGAAGGAAGGGTCAGATAGGAGGAACAGACAGATGGGGGGAAAGACGAAGGGAGGGATAGAGGGAGGGACAAACACTGTGAGGGAAAGACGGGTGGAGGGATAGAGGGAGGGACAAACAGCGAGAGGGACAGAGGGTGAGACAGATGGAGGGACAGACAGATGGAGGGACAGAGAGGTGTGGGAGACAGAGGGAGGGACCGAGGGAGAGGAAGGAACAGGGAGATAGATAGAAGGGAGAGACAGAGGGAGGGACAGACGGATGGAGGGATAGAGGGAGGGACAGACAGAAGAACAGAGGTTGGGACAGAGAGATGAAGGGACAGACGAAGGGATGAAAGGGGGAACAAACAGCAGGAGGGAAAGACGTAGGGGGGGAGCGAGCGCAAAGGGAGAGAGGGACACAGAGGAAGGAACAGGGGGAGGGAGGGACAGACGTAGGGAGGGAGCGAGGGCAAAGGGATAGAGGGACACAGAGGAAATGAAATAAAATGGATCTTAACGTCCTACTGTTCTGCTCCTATACTGGGCTAATGAAGACGGGAAGGAACAGGGGGAGGGAGTGACAGACGGAGGGAGGGATAGAGGGAGGGACAGACGGGGGGACAGAGAGAGGGAGGGACAGAGGGATGGGGGATAGAGGGAGGGACAGATGGGAGGACAGCGAGAGGGAGGGTGTGACAGAGGGAGGGACAGACGGATGGAGGGATAGAGAGATGAAGGGACAGACAGAGTGGGTGACCGAGAGACAGGGGGGGAGAGACAGAGGGAGGGATAGAGGGAGGACAGACAGTAAGGAAGAGAGAGAAAGGGAGAAAGACGGAGGTAGGGTCAAATACAAGGAGGGAAAGACGGATGGATGGAAAAGACGGCGTCAGGGTCAAATAAAAGGAGGGAAAGACGGATGGAGGAATGGATATAGGGGGAACAAACAGCAGGAGGGAAAGACGTAGGGAGGGAGCGAGCGCAAAGGGAGAGAGGGACACAGAGGAAGAAACAGGGGGAGGGAGGGACAGACGTAGGGAGGGAGCGAGGGCAAAGGAAGAGAGGGACACAGAGGAAGGAACAGGGGGAGGGAGTGACAGACGGATGGAGGGATAGAGGAAGGGACAGACGGGGGGACAGAGAGAGGGGACGTGACAGAGGGAGGGAAAGATGGGAGGACAGAGAGAGGGAGGGTGTGACAGAGGGAGGGACAGACGGATGGAGGGATAGAGAGATGAATGGACAGACAGAGGGAGTGACCGAGAGACAGGGAGGGAGAGACAGTAAGAAAGAGACAGAGAAAGGGAGAAAGACGGAGGTAGGGCCTAATAGAAGGAGGGAAAGACGGATGGATGGAAAGACAGAGACAGGGCGAAAGACGGCGGCAGGGTCAAATAGAAGGAGGGAAAGACAGAGGAATGGATATAGGGGGGAACAAACAGCAGGAGGGAAAGACGTAGGGAGGGAGCGAGCGCAAGGGAGAGAGGGACACAGAGGAAGGAACAGGGGGAGGGAGGGACAGACGTAGGTAGGGAGGGAGCGAGGGCAAAGGGAGAGAGGGAGGGACAGACGGATGGAGGGATTGAGGGAGGGACAGACGGGAGGACAGAGAGAGGGAGGGCGAGACAGACGGGGACAGATGCATGGAGGGATAGAGAGATGAAGGGACAGATGAAAGATGGATGGACATAGGGTGGGACAGAGGGAGGGAGGGGCCGAGGGTGAGACAGATGGAGTGACCGAGGGACAGACAGAGTGACAGGGAGACAGAGGCAGGTGTGGGAGACAGAGGGAGGGCGGGAGAGACAGGTGGAGAGAAAGACGAAGGAAGGGTCAGATAGAAGGAACAGACGGATGGAGGGAAAGACGAAGGGAGGAATAGAGGGAGGGACAGACGGATGGAGGGATTGAGGGAGGGACAGACGGGAGGACAGAGAGGGGGAGGGCGAAACAGACGGGGACTGATGCATGGAGGGATAGAGAGATGAAGGGACAGATGAAAGAGGGAAGGACAGATAGGAGGGACAAATGGCGGGAGGGATAGAAGGACAGAGGGAGTGGCCGAGGGACAGGGAGGGAGAGACAGTAAGAAAGTTGGAGGCAGGGTCAAATAGGAGGTAAAGGCGGATGAAGAGAAAGACGGGGGAGGGACAAACAGCAGGAGGGAAAGACGTAGGGAGGGAGGGACACAGAGGGAGAGAGGGACTCAGAGGGAGGAACAGACAGATGGAGGGATAGAGGGAGGGACAGACTGATGGAGGGATAGAGGGAGGGACAGACTGATGGAGGAATAGAGGGAAGGACAGATTGGGAGGGACAGATAGGAGGGACAAACGGCGGGAGGGATAGAGGGAGGGAAAGACGGAGTGAGGGAGGGCGGGACAGACAGAGGCAGTGACCGACCCAGTGAGGAAGGGACAGAGGGACAGACAGAGGGAGGGATAGATGGAGGGAAAGACGGAGGAAGGGACAGCTAGAAGGAGAAGTGACAAAGTAACAGACAGATGAAGAGAAAGACGAAGGAAGGGTCAGATAGGAGGAACAGACGGATGGAGGGAAAGATGAAGGGGGGGGGGACAAACACTGGGAGGGAAAGACGGATGGAGGGACAAACAGCGGGAGGGAAAGACGGAGTGAGGGACACAGAGGGAGGAACAGGGGGAGGGACAGAGGGATGGAGGGAGCGACAGAGACAGGGAGGGAAAGGGGATGGAGGGATAGGGGGAGGGACAGCCGGAAGGACAGGGATGGTGGGACAGACAGAGAGATGGAGGTACAGGTGAAGTGTTGGGTGGACAGAGGAAGGGACAGATTGAGGGAGGGACAGGGGGTAAGACAGATGGAGTGACCAAGGGACAGAGGGACAGGTAGGTAGAGAGAGAGAGACAGAGGGAGGGACAGAGTAGGGAGGGGCGGAGGCAGGGACAGATAGAATGAGGGACAGATGAATGGAGGGATAGACAGACGGAAGGACAGAGATGGGGATAGACAGAGAGATGAAGGCACAGCTAAGTATTGGGTGGACAGAGGCAGTGACAGATGGAGGGACAGGGAGTAAGACAGATGGAGTGACCAAGGGACAGAGAGGAACAGGGAAGGAGAGACAGACAGGGAGAGAGGGACAGGGGAGGGAGGGAGGAAGGCAGGGGCATATAGGAGGGGCAGATAGGAGGGATAGAGGGAGGGACAAACAGCAGGAGGGAAAGACGGAGTGAGGGAGGAACAGGGAGAGGGAAGGACAGGGGGGGAGGGACAGATGGGTGGAGGAAGTGAGGGAGGGACAGATGGATGGACAGACAGGAAAGGGCAGACAGAGAGATGGAGGGACAGATGAAGGGATGGGTTGACAGAGGGAGGGACAGATAGAAGGAGGGGCAGATGGATGGAGGGAAAGGCGGAGGCGATAGAGGGAGGGACAGACAGGGGGCAGATGGGTGTAGGGAGGGAGGGGAGGGGACAGATGGGTGTAGGGAGGGAGGGGAGGGGACAGATGGATGGGTAGAGGGAGGGACAGACAGGTCCTATGTACACATTGGCATATGAAAAAGAACCCTTGACAGGTGGAATTCCAAGTAAGAGTAGGCCACAGACAGGCCAAAATTTCCCTCCCCATCTTCATTAGCCTAGTTCGAGTAGAACAGTATTGTCTTCTCCATTTCATTTCCTTTCTTTTGTCAGTTGTTAGGATGGTATGCAAAACAAATATGCATAGCCTAGAGGCCTACTGCCGAGTATTGGCCTTGGCCTTGCTTGACACAGATGGAAATCGAAGGAGTATGGTGTAATTGCGACACTAGGCCTATTATACCCAGTAACCAGTTGGTGCAGAAAATTAAGTTAAACCCCATTTGATTCATTTATATTCTTGGGAAGAGCTGTGAACAGGGCAGGGAAAGCATGGGGATATGATGGGTAGCCTACTAATTAAATGGGTAGCTTATTAATTAAAGTTAATGATAACATCTGGTTCTAAGTCAGTAATTGCAATTATGGAATTGCAATTAGAATAGAAACTAAATACGTACAAAGGAAGCCATTATGGTTACAAGAAAGTTTTTTTAATGTGTTAAAAGCATGTCGATAGGTTACTATTGACCAATTAAACAACAGTTAAGGAATGAATATTGTCGCGTCAATGTCATCCTTATCAGTAATTGTAGCGGCCTAGCGAAAATTCACTGCTGATCACTGAAAATTCTACACACTCTTCGAACGACGCAATTTTGAGAACTTCTTTCTAAACGCGGGCAAGTTTCCATTATAAGTAAACCGGTGCCGCATCGCAAATGTATAGGCGTAGGTACATATCACTTACTGTCATACAGCCGAGGCTAGATGTAGGGTACCGGAATCTGCCGAGGTTTGCCGAGTGGTGTTATGGAAGCCATATGGACACAGATCACTAAAGATTTCCCTATTGACTCCAATGTTAATTCTCGTATCTTAGACCGGCTCTAACTTTTCCCCAAATTTTCGTTGGGTAGAACGCTTTCTACCACAGATGGAGCAACATTTGGCAACCACTTGCCCAAAAGCACGTATGGGGATCTTTATGAAAAACTTCAGATACACAAGCTGGAAGTAGAGACAAGTAAACATGCAATTTCAGGCCCTACATTTCAACCTAACCAACCTCTCAACTCTTGGATCCTTCCGCATCAAAATTATGAATATTCACCAAAACCTGGCAGAAAATGTATTTTCAAACCCTTTTTCTCGATTCTACTCCAAAAAGTCAACAAAGGGGGAAAAGGAAAAGGGAGAGGAAGATTAAAAATAGCTTTGGCCCTTGTTTCGTATTTGGTGATCTGTGTCCATATCATGTGACGTCGGGGGGGGGGGGGTTGGATGGTAGTCTCTATCATCAAAAAAAATATTCTACGAATATTTGAAGAGTAGGAGTAGGAGGTTCTGGGTGACCGAGACTAGTTGGATGGCTGAATGCATCAAACCATACTGCACGCAGCGACCCATCTACGTCATACTTCCCAGAATGTGACACTGCACTGATTATCCGCCATTTAAAACGCTCATGTGATCATTTTGGGGCGGGACTTATCGACTCGATACCGCTTTGTTTAGACAACAGAGTAAAAATAACCCACGCACGTGTGTTTTATGTAAACACGGCATGTCGCTGACACTCGCGTAAAAGCGATATATAATATGTGCTATGGGTAATATTGCAATAAATTCTTTACCATTGTAAACTGTCTTTAGAGTTTCAATCTGTTTATCTTTCAAAACAAGGTTAGATACTCCTAAATTTGTTTTCGCAAACAAAACCGCCTCTGTGAAATTATGTTTCATGGGCGCCGCCATATTGAATAATTAGAGGACTATTTTGTGATTCGGCTTTGATTAGTTTGACATCTTTCATACACACAGCGGCTAAATAAACATATTTAATTTCATTCAATATGACAATAGAAGAGAAATAAATACTTTTAAAAATTTCTAAAAGCATACTCAGTGTTTTCGACTAAAATCGTCGATGTAGGAATTTAAATGTCGGTTAATTAGCTTAGGGCCTATTCTCAGCCGGAGCTAGCTGTAGATAGGCAGCCTAAGTTTGGTATTGCATCAAGCATGACTGAGTTGCAAAGTACAATGCTCTGCGCATGTCCAGACACTGAAGCGATTAATTTGACCTTTGACCTTTTCTTGTCTCCTTATATGAATGCATTGTACTTTGCAACTCAGTCATGTTTGATGCATTTGCCTATGGGCTAAATGGTTAGCGTGCGCGCGCTGTATCATAAAGTCTGTCATTGAGTCGACTGGCGTGGTTTCGAATCCCCGGTTGTACGTGACAAGGAGTAGGGTCGCCTGTCCAACCTCGTGGGTTTTCTCCGGGTCCTCCCGTTTCCTCCCTCTGCTAAAGACCCCTACGCGCAAGCGAATTATTGAAATAAAATTAAAACGTTTCCCGAAATGACATAGTTTGTGTCGAGTGGACGTTAAACCCCATTTCTCTCTCTCTCTCTCTCTCTCTGGTGTGACGTACGTCACACGGAGAATTTTACTCGACGTAACCTTAAAGGTCAGTCATCTTGTACAGTGGTTAAAGAAGGATTTCGCCAATCTGTTTTACAGAACTAATGCGACATCCGTCTTTTATCTCTGTCCAAGATGACGGACCTTTAAAAGGTCAGACTGCTATAGTCCTACGGGTGACGTCACATCATAATGTTTACCAACAAAGCAAGATGCGGTATCTCACATCTTTTTGGTTGAAAACCCGGTCGATTAAGTTTAAAAACACAATATTAAGAATCCTTAATCAATTATAAACGGTGTTCAGTACAACAGGAAAATAATCCAAATGTTTCAAAAGCAAACAAACAGATAAAAACGTCAAATTGATGGTCACACGTGCGTTGTTTACATCGAACGTAGTAATATGAACAGGTACGGGCAGAATTATATCGTTTTACCCATTTTACGCCTCCGCGTACTATTTTCTGTACCTATTTACGCTAAATATGGAATATTTTTTATCCAGATATACTTCAAACACCTTTATTTATTTTTCTAATACTTAAAAAAAATGTTTCAGAATTTAATTTGTCGAAAGAAAAAAGTTAATATTTTGTAGTCATTAAGTCGCATCGATGTCATCCTTATCAGTGATTGTAGCGGCCAAGCGAATATTCACTGCGGATCAGTGTGGGATTTCGCATTAAAACTGTGAAAGAGGTGACCTTGACCTTACATAAAATTCAAATGGTGGGAAACTTTATTGTCATAATTATTTTACTGGGTAATAGTAGTAATGACGTTTAGATCGGTGTTTTAACAATGCCAAAGGTAGTCCATTATACACGTAATTAATTAATTTTTTCTTAATTTGCCTATTAGAATGCCGTTTTATTTAATATTATATCTGTGTTTACTAAAAAAAAACAACGCAAAACGGAAGGCATAGCCATAGGTTATTCTTACTAGATTAAGTTGGACCAGGAGGAGATAGATCTACTTTCACTCGGTTACCCACAGTCATCTTATGTCTTGTAATTGTATAGCCTACTTCAAGTTCAAATGGTATATTATATTAGTATTTACAATACCTTAGACTACCGTCTAGGGCCTACCTACTTTATTTACAACAAGAATAGTTTATGCTACTCAGTACAACACTACAACAGTCCAATATTTTGATATATTTGGTAATAAAACTTTGTTGCAAAAAATGGTAGTGGTTTAATGAGTGCGCGTGAAATCACAAGGTTTGCCCTTGCGTCAAGTGACATGGTTTCGATTTCCCGCTTGTTGGCCTACTTGACAAAGAGTAGGTATGTGCCAAAAAAAATCAAACCAACTGTATACCTTGGAAATACGATTAAAATGAGCTCTCATTTGTAACAATCAGTTAAGTATTAAAGGAGTTAAATCGCTAAAAGGCCCTATTTGGGACCACGAAATTGACCCAAATGGGTAGCAACGCATATAATAATGTAATCGGATTGTATATAAACTGATTTACATTCAATTGTTCATGTCCAGCGAAATATGGCATGAGTCTCAACCAATTGGCAATTTCTAGCGTCTGGTTATTCCAGTCTATTGCGCATGCTCTCCAGATAAGATTTGACATGAGTTGTGGAATATGTCTAGCCTTGTTCTTTCTGGTCACTTGTTACAAATGACGCTGAAACGCACTATGGTACACGATTCGTGTACCAATGGTAAAATGTTTATTTTGTCTTAAATATTTGATATCAGAAGCCTACCTTTTTCCCGGTAAGATTACAACATCAATGTTGATTTGAATTGAGAAATAATTCGTGTTTTCAACGTGTAAGACTTTGGATGATATTGAGTTAGAGACTTAGCTACTTTAAGAATTTTATGCCACTTTCAAGGTCATTAATCGGCCCTAATTACATTTAAACCAATAGGAAATCTGTTACCGAAACCTGTACTTTTTAAACATCAGTCATGTCGACATGTGACCTAAATTCATAGAAGTCTGACACAAGCCTCAGCATTATCTGCAATCATCGGCTTCACTGCAAATGGTGCAAACAATTTACACATCAAACCTTAAAGATACTTTCCCACAAAAGTATTTATCATGTGGTTATTTCCAATAAGAGTATGGCAATTTTGGTATATATATGGAAAGTACAATGTAGAAACATCCAATCTTGATAGAAAAATACCAGATTCCCTGAAAAACACCCATGGAGCTGCAACCCATCGATTAGGAATGTCTGCTTGAGTGACGTCAAAGGTTGCACGCGAAGATTGTCTGATTTGTCAGCACTTGATGTATATGTTGATAAACTTGATGGTGAGTTTAAGCGAGCAGCAGTTTCTGAGATAAAAACCACGAAAAAAGACGTACATGTAGGTAGTGGATAATCCGACAATTTAATTAGACTTCGATATTTATGATAAATAAATACTAAATAGTGATTAAAGACAACATCGTCTGTAGGCCCTATATGCTGTATCATACGGCCTGTCATTGAGTCAACTGGCGTGGTTTCGAATCCCCGGTTGTATGTGACAAGGAGTAGGGTCGCTTGTCCAACCTCGTGGGTTTTCTAAGGGTCCTCCGGTTTCCTCCCACTGCTAAAGACCCCTACACGCAAGCGAATTAATGAAATAAAATTAAACCATATGTTAGTCCTGAAATCACCTAGTTTGTGTCGAGTGGACATTAAACCCCATTTCTCTCTCTCTCTCTCTTTCATAGACATATTGATCAACCAATGTCAGACATATCTCCTTGCTCATCAGTCTAGGTGCTCCGCCCTTAATTTCTGGGTAAACACCCGCCCACTAACTCTTGCAGTCCCCTGTGATCCCATTAACGATATAAATATTGGGCTTATGTGCTCATACATGGTCTTGTGCGTCATACAGCATCAGCAGTCAACACACACCTGAAATACTGTTACTTGAAAATTCATCTGGCCCTAAATCGAGTTAGTGCAGACTTTTTGCTTGGAACTCTCTGGATTTGTGTTCCTGGTGTTATAATTTTTCTAAAAAAGTATATTAATGTAGTTTGTTTATTAGGGAGGACCATGTAGCGGAATTGTGTTTCTAAGCAAGCTAGAAATTTTGGCTGAAGGCCTAATAGTATAGTACATTGTCCACGATGCTACCAGATTACTGCTATTTGTGTTAAAATTGGGTCCATAAATCAGGGAAACCCCATAAATTAAAATATTTTGATTGCTTTTCTGCATAATTTTTCACAATAACATAGTAAATTACTGGTATTGGTTTTAAAATGTGTATTTCTTATTGAAATTAACTTAAATTTTTGTAAAAAAAAGCACAGATGATAGTCACGATATAGTCTAGATAAAACCGTTATAAACTTAGTTGATTTAGGTAAGCAAAAAAAAAAAAATATCTCGAGCACTCGACTTAATATCTTGAGCGCTCGAAAATTTTTTTTTTTTTCCTTACCTAAATGTGTGTGTGGTGTGTGTGTGTGTGTGTGGGGGGGGGGGGGTGCTCTGTCACTGCAGTTTTGGATGGGCTGTAAAAACTAACAAATGAATATCTATATTCTGCAAGTTTATCATCAAATTATGCACAAAATTATACAGCTTAAAAAATCGGTTGAGACATGTTCGGTTATATTATCACGAGCTCTTGACTTACATGTATTATCTTGAGCAATCGAATTGGTATCTTGAGCGCTCGACTTAATTATCTCGAGCGCTCGACTGTAAAAACTAACAAATGAATATCTATATTCTGCAAGTTTATCATCAAATTATGCACAAAATTATACAGCTTAAAAAATTGGTTGAGACATGTTCGGTTATATTATCACGAGCTCTTGACTTACATGTATTATCTTGAGCAATCGAATTGGTATCTTGAGCGCTCGACTTAATTATCTCGAGCGCTCGACTTAATTATCTCGAGCGCTTGACTTAACTATCTTGAGTGCTCGACTTAGTATCTCAAGCGCTAGACTAAGTATCTCGAGTGCTCGAGATATTTTTTTTTTTTTTGCGTGTCCTAAATCAGCCATCGTAGTTAAATGTCTAAACATCAGTTTCTAGTATTTATTATCATATGGTCCAAATCAACCATGAATGTGGTATGAATAAACTTTGACTTTTGGTCCGAATGAGCCGTGGTCGGAAATGAAATAGGGTTTAAAGTCCTACCTTTCTGATCCCGCTGGGCTAATGAAGACAGGCATACTCCATACAGTGTGCAATGGGGGAAATTTTTCCTGGACAACGGCACTACAGCCTATACTTATATTGAATTCCAACTGCCAAGTGATCTTTTACATGCACTCCAATGCGGCAATGTGTACACGGGACCTCATATTTTTTGTCCCATCCACTGACAAGGGGGAACCACGCCGGAAAATGCAAATGAACTTTCATGGCCAACACCAGGATTGAACACAGGACTTCCAGGACAAATGATACAGAATCTGTTATTTTCTCTAATGATAAGTTTTGTGCATTGAGATAAAAGTCTTGATTTTAAGGGGATTACTAGATTAGTAACAAAGCCATTGTTGTGTATGGTATTGGACCCAAAATTTTAAAATTGTCTGCGTATACAATTTGTAGCAGTTTGACATATATCATTAATCTTTGTATTTCTCAAAACATGTTCCCCAGTGCCCTTAAACTGGCTAAAATTATTCCTATACATAAGAAGGGAGCTAAAGATGATCCAAACAATTATAGGCCAATTTATATTCTCCCCACAATTTCAAAAATATTCGTAAGGCATTTGAGCGCTCAAATTCAAACCTATTTGGAAACTTTCAATGTTTCATGCGCTACTGCACTGATCCGAATGACAGATAATTGGCTTGATGCTATCAATAACGGTGCGATGAGTGATCTCATTGATCACAAGCTTATTATTGAAAAACTGCATGTTTATCGATTTGATAATAATTCACAAATTTTGATTAAATCATATCTTGACACATGGAAGCAAAAAGTATGTTTAGGATCAATTACCTCCTCAATTACTACAGTGAAATGCGGGGTTCCACAAGGTTCAATCCTGGGTCCTCTCCTATTCCTTATTTTTTATGAATGATCTCCCACTCAATATTGAATCAAGTCAGATAAATTTGTTTGCTGATGACAGTGCCCTGCATTGTTTACACAAAGGTATTTTATCCATCGGCAATAATCTCCAAAATGATCTCTATTTGGTTGCTAAATGGTGTGAAAACAATGGGATGGTAATCAATCCTTCGAAAAAAAAATCAATGCTGATTTCATCAAAACACAAAAGAAATCAGAAAAACCTAACTTTATCACTCCATGGTGAGAAAATTGAGACGGTTACTACCGCAAAATTACTTGGAATTCAAATTGACCAAGACCTTAATTGGGAAGCACAGATAGCTTGCATCAAAAGTATTTCTCCTAAATAAGATAAAAGATCATTTCCCCTACGAGACAAGAATTTTGTTTTATAACAGTTACGTACTACCATTATTCTGCATGTCTTTTATGGAACAATCTGCCTTTTGGTATAAAGATGTGTAAAAATGTTGAAAATTTTAAGATTAAACTGAAAACTCATTTATATTGCGCACTGAAGGAACCATAATATTCAACTGATGACATACTTATTCTTTTTAACTTGCAACTGCATTCTATCTTATTTTGTGTGTAATTATAGTGTTTTTGTTTTGTAGTTTGGGAGTAACTTCCCACTTTAAAATGCTATTGCTATTTCTTGTGAATACTCTACAGACTACATTTATCATCTGGTTTTTTTTTAAATTGATATATGTTGTTTGCATTAGTGAGATGAAGAAGCCTATTTAATTTCAAGAACTTCTGTTAATTTCTTCTGGAGTTATGGCCCTTGTTTCACTTTGTTGCACCTTGTGAATGCACTTATGACAAAAGTTATCAACCGATCTGTATGAAATTTATAGGCATCATTTGAATTAGTAAAACAAAGAAGCCTATTGAATTTCAGCAATTTCCATTAATTACATCTAGAGTTATGGCCCTTGTTTCACTTTGTTAAATCTTGTGAACGCTCTAATTACAACAGTTATCAACCGATCTATTTGAAATTGATATGCATCATTTAAATTAGTGAAACAAAGAAGCCCTTTGAATTTTAGCAATTTCTGTTAATTATGCCATGAGTTATGGCCCTTCTTTCATTTTGTTGTACCTTGTGAATGCTCTAACGACAAAAGTTATTATCCGATCTGTATGAAATTTATATGCATCATTTAAATGAGTAAAACAAAGAAGTCTATTGAATTTCAGCAATTTCCGTTAATTACATCTAGAGTTATGGCCCTTGTTTCACTTTGTTGAATTCTGCGAACTTTCTAATGACAACAGTTATCATCCGATCTGTTTGCAATTGATATGCATCATTTAAATTAATGAAACGACGAATCCTATTGAATTTCAGCAATTTCCGTGTATTATGACATGAGTTATGGCCCTTGTTTCACTTTGTTGTACCTTGTGAATGCTCTAACGGCAAAAGTTATTATCCGATCTGTATGAAATTTATATGTATCGTTTAAATTAGTAAAACAAACAAGCCTATTGAGTTTCAGAAAATTTCTGTTAAATACAGCTAGAGTTATAGCCCTTGTTTCACTTTGTTGAAACTTGTGAACGCTTGAACGACAAAAGTTATCACCAAATTTGTATGAAATTCATATGCATCATTTAAATTAGTGAAATTAAGAAGCCTATTGAATGTCAGCTATTTCCGTCAATTACTTCTAGAGTTATGGCTCTTGTTTTACTTTGTTGAACCTTGTGAACGTTCGAACGACAAAGGTAATCATCCGACCTGTATGAAATTTATATGCATTATTTGAATTAGTAAAACGAAAAAGCCTGTCAAATTTCAACAATTTCTGTAGATTACTTCCAGAGTTGAGACTCTTGTTTCAGTTTGTAGAACCTTGTGAACCCTCAAACAGCAAAAATTATAATCTGATCTGTATGAAACTGTCTTGTAAAGGCCCCCAATTACCTACAAAGGAATAAATATGCGACAACCCTTGTCGTCCGCTCGGATGATTTAGCTGCTGTGGGCGTATGTTTCGTTGCCTGGCAACCTATCTTATTTTATTTAAAAGAAAAAATTGCAGCGGATCTTGTTCTTTATATGTATCTGTACACAAAATAATTATACGTTGACACCTGTTATGTATGTGTTCTATGCATACAGCCGATAGACTATTTGTTTGGTGAAGAATTTGGAACATGATAACTCGGTCTCTGATTCATGTGAAATATTCAGACTTGGTGTAGATGTTCATTAGGTGAATCAGTCTCATGACTGAGTGCAATGATTAGAATTGTCTGCTAGAGATTATGCAATGTGATTTGGTGATACTCTGAGACACAATAACTTTGATTGTTAGGGAATGAGAGTGTTGAAACTTGGTGTTAGAACAGTATATCAAAACCTTGAATAACTTATAAATCATAGCATTTTCTGCTTAGGTTAGGTTGCTTGATGGTTTAAAAAAAGATAAATGTACAGCTATGGCTGCTGTAATGTGTCATGTAAATTATTGTCCCCCCCGCATTTTGAGGTAGAATGTTCAAACTTGGTGTTGGTGTTTATTAGGTGAATGCCTTGATGGAGTTCATAGATCTATTTTCCATTAATTCTAATTGGGTGAGAATGATGTAACTCTGAGTATAGATTCATTATATCAATACCTTGACTAAGTTTGATGATGAGAATTCCCTGCTTAGGGTAAGTAGCAAAAAGCAATTTGATTAGTCAAGACTTTGGAACACAATAAATTTCCTTTGAATTGAGGTAGAATGTTTTAACTTGATGCAGATGTTCATTAGGTGAATGTCTTGACTGAGTTCAATGATTAACATAGCAGAGCTAAGCAATTTCATTGGTCGATGTTTTGGAACGAGATAACTGATTCAAACTGATGGAGAGTGATGAAACTTCAAAACCTTGACTGAGTTTGATTCTGAACATTTTCGTGCTTAGGATAAATATAGGTAATGAGTTTGATTGCTCGATACTTTTGAAAACAATAAATGTGCAATTAATTAATATTTGTCATCTATTTTTTTTTTGAAAATCGGCGGAGGACATCAGCCTCACTGTAGGCTCATTTATTTTGGGATTGAGGCAGTCAAGATTAGCCTCATTGTTGGCTTGTTTTATTTCAGTCAAGTTTATTAACAGTTACGTATAAAAAGCGAAGAACAAGAAAGAAAGATGCAAGTTGTAGTTCAGTTACCAGAGGTAATTTCTGTACTCTATGTTTGACTACTTAAATTATTTATATTACTACCAATCTGATTAAAACACTGATCCTATTTCGTTTCGTTTTTATAGTTCAAAATTTCGTTTTACTTGACTTGACTACACTAGGATCTGGAAGAGTTGTTATCTTTGACGTGTTCTGAAACGGTCTGTTACGGCGAGATTTAGGCGTGTTTTGCACGAAACTGTGGGTATTCCACTAGTAACATCAATGTTGATTGGTTAATCAAAAGTCTCTCGTATGACCTCTGACGCGACCTATCGCTACAACCGGTCATATGTTCATGTAGTGTAGGCCATAGAAAGTATAAAAAAACAAATCGAAATATAGATCTGTATTTTAATCAGATTGTATTACTACTAGGATTGTCAATGGTGTTTTGTGGGTTTTGTAGATAAGTTATGATTTATATGTTGTTGTTTTCAAAAGCAATATATATATATTTGTAAGAAATAAGTTTTTTTTCACAAACAAACAATAATATTGTTCATTGATAAGTTTACCTTCATTGCTTGAAAACATATTTATATTTAAGACAAAACTTATTCTACGACCTGTTGTTTTTGTTTGAGTAACAAAGATAAAGAGGAGGAGTTTGGAAAATTGATCCGAAAAAATGGTTTCACAGTTCATTATTTCTGTTTGGTAAAGTATTGGTTTCCTATTAATTTATTTCAAGTAATACTGTCAGTTGTGTGAAACACAATTGTTTTTGTTTGGATTATTATTCTTATTAAGATTTCATATGAAAGCTTATTGTTTTTATACGCCCACATTTTCATGTGGACGTATATTGTCGTCGCCCCTGTCCGTCCACAATTTGTTTGTGGACACTCTACAGGTCACAATTCTTATCCAATTTTGACGAAACTTGAAATATAGGTTTATCTCCAAAAGATCTTGATTGCTTTCGATATTGGCATTTATCGGATCGAAACTTCATGGATTATGGCCCCTGTTTGTACGAAAAGTCATGTTTTTAGCTTGTGGACGAGGTCACAATTTTAATCCTATTTTGATGAAACTTGAAATGTAAGTTTATAACCCAATGATCTCGGATCCTTTCGTTATTCGCGCATATCGGACCGTAACTTCCTGAATTATTATGGCCCCTGATTGTACGAAAAATCGCGTTTTTATACGCCCACATTATGCCGTCGCCCCTGTCCGTCCGTCCGTCCACTATTGTTTGTGGACTCTCTACAGATCACAATTCTTATCCGATTTTGACGAAACTTGAAATATAGGTTTATCCCCAAAAGATCTCGGCTGCTTTCGATATTGGCATGTATCGGATCGAAACTTTATAGATTATGGCCCCTGATTGTACGAAAAATCACGTTTTTAGCTTGTGGACCCTATAGAGGTCACAATTTTTATCCGATTTTGTTTATAACCCAAAGATCTCGTTTCCATTTCGATATTTGCGCATATCTGACCGTAACTTCCTGAATTATGGCCCCTGATTGTACGAAAAGTTGCGTTTTTAGCTTGTGGACCCTATAGAGGTCATAATTTTTATCCCATTTAAAAAAACGTTCGAATATATTACCATTACACCCTAAGGATAGTTGAGTTTGAATTTCGTAAATATTGGACCAAAACTGACAGACAAAATGGCCGCCCCTTGTACTCAAATAGCGTATAAATATGGTATATCAATGTTGTGGACCCTCTAGAGGTCACAATTTTCTTTTGATTTTTATGAAACTTGAAATGTAAGTTAATAACCCAAAGATCTTGGTTCCTTTCGATATTCGGCATATCGGATAGTAACTTCCTGAAATATGGCCCTTGATTGTAAGAAAAATCGTGTTTTTAGCTTGTGGTCCTTGTAGAGGTCATAATTTTTATCTGATTTAAAAAAATGTGTGAATATATCACCATTACACACTAAGATCATGGATCCTTTTGATAATCGCAGATACCTGAACTTAACTTCCTGGATTATGGCCCCTGATTGTTAGAAAAATGACATTTTTAGATCACAATTTTTTTTTCCGATTTTAAAAACCGTTTCAATATTTCACCATTGCACCATAATGAAGGTTGAATTCGAATTTCGGGAAAATCGAAATGAAACTGCCCAACAAAATGGCCGCTCTTTTTTTTCTCAAATTGTGTAAAAGTATGCAATACGAAAGTTGTCAACCCTCTAGAGGTCGCAATTTTTGTCCGATTCTGATGAAAATTAAATCATATCTTTATATCCTAAAGATCTCAGTCCCTTTTGATATTTGCGCATTTCAGACCATAACTTTCTGGATTATTGCCCCTGATTGTACAAAAAATCCTGTTTGTTTTTAGCTTGTTCTCTATTCATCTCTTGCAAAATGTGGGCGTATCCTGCCTGGCAGCCGCTAGTTGTTAAAATTATGTATTACATATGAAAGCTTATTGTTTCTGTTAAGATTATTATTTTTTATTTTTTTTTGTGTGTATTTTCTGCAAATCTTATATCTCAGAATCTAACCATGGGATCTTTCGGAAACATTGACCTACCCCCCCAAAAATGGGGTGCGACTGTGGATAAAATATATTTTCAAAACGTTTACGCATCCGAAATCACCGAAATTTACGAAGAAATTGACCTACATACCTATAACTTTGTGACTATTTGACCTATTTTACTAATTTGAGGAACTTGAAAAAAATCATTTTCATCTGCAATTTCAGATTTTCGAATTTCGAAAATTCGTCGCTGTGATTTCGAACCGGAAGTTGAGACCAACTTAACAACTTCTTTAATAGTTGCACGATTTTCATGAAATTTAGTATGTTAGTAGATCTTAATGATGCGACTTGACAAACTTATCTAACTTATCTCCCCTTGAGGAAAATTAAGGATCAAAATTTTCAAAAAAATCAACGAAATATAAGTCAGATTGCCTTGAATTTTTTTTTCTATACTAGTTAAGTAATTACGGATGAGTACACAAAATATGAAGTTTGTCGATCGAACCGGAAGTGCCACCATCTTGAAACGTGAAAAAACCCTAAGGTTTTTGCGATATTTTACTTACAGCTATGGTAGTTATATTTTCTAAATCCTTGAAGGAAAGCCTAAACAATGTTCCACACAGAATTTTGATTTAGGTCAACTGATGGTCACCATTTTGAAATAAATATGGAAAACGGTGAAAAATCTACATTAACGGGCTTGTAAATAAACACAATAGGCCATAGTGTGGTCAATTCGTCTCCTATTTCTGAAATTAATACATTTGAAGATAGCCTTGCTCATGGTCGAATTTTGGGTATTTTAATATTTCAAAAATTTGAATTTCACCTTTGACTTTTTCAGTGCAGACAAAGGTGTTTACTTGTGAAAAATTACCATTATCGGCTTGAAAATCTCGGAATAGACCGTCGTTTCGTAAATACGTCTCCTATTTCCGAATTTAATACATTTCTCGATAGTTTCCTTCCGGAATGGGTGGTGGCTTTGGAATTAATATATTTTTAAAATGTTTAAAAATCACAGAATTTTACTGACAAAAAACATTTATCCATAATAGATAGAGTACATAGACCATAGGCCGTAGTTAAAAATTGTTACAAAGTGCCTCAAGAAGTTGGTGAAGGGTATATCTCTATTTGATAATTAAATTTGATAAAGTATGACCCTCAAAATGAAATGTTCTCCCGATAGAAATGGTTTGCTAATTAGTAATTAGCATTTAAAATTGCATTCTTTTGTTTAAGTTGGTCATAGAAAAGGCCATTTTTAGCCAATCAGATTTCACCAATTACCCCTAAGTACCACTAGGATTTCCAGTCAATAAACTCGGTTGAGGGTTGGGCTAAAATTTGGGAATAGTTTGTTTGACTGAAATAAAAAACGCACTAACTCAAATATCATTACATCGTTTTTTGTCTATTTTGTTTATTTTTCCCCAAGTTAAAATCTGACAGTTGAAATCAAATCTTTATTGAGATTTTCCTTCAATAGCAATCCTCTAAACAACCTGTTGACCTCTCTTTACGAGTAAGGTCATCATCTCGGGTTAAGGGTCAACGACTCATTGTTTTTAGTCTGTGTCCGGTGCATAAAACTGATGACCGCATAGTATCTAGTTGCTTCGGAATAAAAGCAGTGACGTGGAGTAGGCTACATGTTGTAATCTTAGTTACTGCCACCACTGCTTAATAAAGTCAAGCTTTACGTTTTTCCTCGTCATATTAAGCGAATTGATTATTCGACTGAATTATCTGCTGATAGTACTAGTTCAGGTAGGCCTAATTATTCTACTTCTATTATTATTTTGTTGATTTTGAAGCTACAATACCAGCTCTGTCCAACCAGTCCTTAGATTTACCTAGAGCTAAGGTCAATGTTTTCATTCAGTTACTGTTGAATTTGGGTTTTTGAAGATTTCAAGAATAAATGAATAAAATTGGATTTAACATCCTACTTTTCTGCACTAATCGGTATGAAGTGTTCTATGAGGAAAATTTGCCCGGACAGCGGCGCTACATGTATGGCCTACTCTTATATCCGTTCCGAACAATTGATCATATCTTCCTGAATCTTGTTTTTAAATTTAGACCCTCTAGAGGTCACAATTTTTATCCGATTTAGATGAAACTTGAAATGTGTGTTTATAACCTAAAGATCTCTGTTCCTTTCGATATTTGCGCATATTGGGGTGCAATCTGATAAAAAAACACAGATCATATTTCGTTTCGTTTTTCATAGTTCAAAATTTTGTTTAACTTGTCTTTACTACACTAGGATCTGGACGAGTTGTTATCATTGACGTGTCTTGGATGGTGTGAGGGATTAGCCAATGAAACGGTCTGTTATGGCAAACTTTAGGCGTGTTTTCCACGGAACTGTGGGTAATCCACTAGAAACGTCAATGCTAAGTGGTTAATCAAATTTCTGACGTCATAGGGTCAACAGCCGCTTGTATGACCCCTGATGCGACCTCCCAGTACAACTAGTCAGATCTTTATGTAGAGGCCACTGAATATATAAAAAAACGAAACGAAATATAGATCTGTATTTTAATCAGATTGATCGGGGTGTAACTTCCTTGATTATGGCCCCTTCCATGTGGAGGTACATATATATTGTCGTCGCCCCTGTCCGTCCACAATTGTTTGTGGACACTCTACAGTTCACAATTTTAATCTGCTTTCAACAAAACTTGAGGTTCCTTTCGATATTGGCATGTATCAGACCATAACTTCATGGATTATGACCCCTGATTGTACAAAAAATCATATTTTTGGCTTGTGGACACTCTAGAGGTCACAATTGTTATCCGATTTTGTTGAAACTTGAAATCTATGTTTTTAACCCACATAACCTCCTGAATTATGTTTTTAGCTCGTGGACCCTATATAGAGGTGACAATTTTTATCCGATTTCAAAATCTGTTTGAATATATCACCGGTACACCCTAAGGATGGCTGAGTTTGAATTTCGGAAAAATCGGACCGAAAAATGGTTGCCCCTCGTATGCAAATAGTGTAACAATATGGTATATCAAGGTTGTGGTCCCATATTTATAACCCAAAGATCTTGGTTCCTTTCGATATTCATACATATTGGATCGTAACTTCCTGAATTATAGCCCCTGATTTTACGAAAAATTATGCTTTTAGCTTGTGGACCCTATAGAGATCACAATTTATAT